TGTGGATGTGGGTGTGGGTGTGGGTGTGGGTGTCGGTGTGGGTGTGATTGTGGGTGTCGGGGTGGGTGTGATTGTGGGTGTCGGTGTGTGGGTGTGGGTGTAGGTTTTCGTGTGGGTCATAATGACACTCACATTCCCCCTCCCACACACCCACACCCACACCCACAGCCACACCCACACACCCACACACGCACACCTACACCCACACCCAACTTTTACTCATAGTAGTTAAATATCTGAAAACACACATTAGAACTGTGCAGAGAAGAGGGAATGAAAGGAGAATAAAAAATAAATAAAGCTAGTATACGTGATATAAATAGGAGACCTAACTGACTATGTATAAGGTAGAAATCGATATGAATTGAAAAAAATAATAAAGACATTTCTCTGAAATGAACAAAATCGCATTTTCCAGATTGGTTTTCTTTTTTATTTCATTTTCTTATATAATGTTCGATATGTACATCAAAAATGTTAAAAGTGGAATATAAGGTACATTTCTTATTGCTGCACCAGCATTTTTTCTGCAATATGTTTCAATTTTTCCGGATTGAATTCCATCAACTGGACAAACGGAAAATTGTGTAGAACAGCGACTAGCACAATCCAATGCTTGACATGTATTAGTATAATAAGGAATAGTTCCTACATACACGGGGACACATGTGGCATTTCCCTTACAACAATGACATTCACAAGTACCAACAACGATTGACGGCTGAACAGGTTTAGCGGTAGATACGGATGTAGGTTTAGGAGTTGAAGTTGTTGCGTTGTTAACACAGGCTAGATCAATGGAATATTCTAATGGACATGACCTGAGTGCATTTTTACATCTTATAACAACATAAATTCGTGATTTCTGACCTCCAACGATAAAACCACGTCCCATTTTGTAACAGGAAACGATTGAGGCTGTTGATCCAGCAGTATAATACGTTGCTTCTGATGGATCATCCTTTGTAAAAACTTGAAATCCTGATTCATCTGTTGATTGAACATTGATAGACGAAACAGCTGCTGCTTTTCCTGCAGGACATGGCAATGCGTTGTATATTTGATGCTCCCCATTTGCCAACACAATGGCACTATCACGACAAAACAGGCAATCACATGTTTGTCCATGCAAAGTTTGGGCGAAAGTCATCAGAAAAACTAAGAACACTGATATGAACTTGAACTGCATGATTGGGATTGCTTGAATATCAACAATTTGTAAATTCTTCTCAAAATGACACAGACGAGACATAACGAAATTAATGTTTTTTCACACTTTATATAGTCAATACCCTTATTGACTTTAAAACCTTCAGATAAGCTACCAAGAAGGTATGAGAGAAGCGGATTGGTAGTTACTTTGTTATACTTACTTTTACCCACTGTGGTAAATCAGCCTCAATAGATACCCAATTCGAATACCTTCTCAGTTCGGGTGAGTATTCAAACCTACCATTTTCATGGAGTTTGATCAAAAGCGATATATTTTGAAAACACGCTTTCGAGCACAGATAGAAGCGGAAAGAAGAGGCAAAGGGAGGAGTCCTGCTTACCAATTTATTGTTTCTCTCTCTCTAGTTACTATTTTGCTGTTGGATGTAGCAATCAGTCTTTAGTTGAAAAAGGAAAAAGATAAACGAATCTGGGAGATCATGTGAAATTACGAGGTGATACTTGCAGATGTCGTAGATGATTATGTAATCATTTACCGTGATCCTCAAGACAGATAGTGTCTTCTTCTTACTTTTAATTTACTTGTATTTCTAAAGATTCAATCCACTTCGAACCAGCCATTGTTATCATTCCTAGCCTATTTCTTTTCAGTTTAATACCGAAATCCACTTTCGATCATTAGTAAATCGACTATAGACTAAAATACCAGCAAATCTACTCCAAAACTACTGGGTTTAGTACCTTTACGCACTCTTGGTACAAAATTCGTATAGTTTTAAGAAATGAACTTTCTAAAGTTGCCATTTTTACACGACTCGATCATAATTTCAGAGCAAATACTTGATAACAAAATGGAGAATGACGTATTTTGTTGACTGTCATCAGTGGGTTTTTTTTACAACTTGAGAGAAAGACAACACAAAGTCAATATACAGGTAAGCTCACAGTGAATCAACAAGCGTTGGCGCCAATAGGATGAAGTTTGTGATACGTGAGGGTGGGAAAATCCCTTACACATTACTACTCTGAGTAAAAAAGCAGTGCTACAAAACCAGTTTCGGATCTATTTCATGGTGGAAGAACTCCGAAAAAAGTATTATCTATCAATACTGAAGGGTGTGGGTGTGGGGTGTGGGTGCGTGTGTGGGTGGGTGTGGGTGTGAAGCCATTCTCTTCTCCACCCCACACCCACACCTATACCCACTCTCACTGAAACCAAGCACAATCATAAATAAGACTGATCTGAAAATCGACATTGCACATACTTTAGACATATCAAAATTATAAAACAAGTCCGATAAAATAAACAAATTCTTCGTTAGTTCGCGAAGAAACTCAGTCAAACGATTTAGAATTTTCTTTGTTATTATAGGATTTTACAAAAGAACCAAAATTGAAATTTAGTCATAATTTTCAATCATCATCAAGTTTTTTATCCATCATATCATTCTTTATCAATACAAACGTCTGAAAATGATATCTTCGTTTCAAAACAGGAAATACATCTGATTTTAACATATTATCAATCAATTGTTTTACTAAGTATACCGTTTAATAATGTTTATTCATTAACATTATTCTCAACAAATTTACCATCAGTTGAAAGTCTTCAATCGATTGTGAACCTTAAACAAATAGGGTGTGAGTGTGGGTGTTGTTCTTTTCTTAACCCACACGCACACACCACATCCACATCCATATCCATACCCACAGCCACAGCCAACTTAACATGAAAAAGGCTGATTGAATGTGGAAAATGATAAGAAAAGAACAGTTTCCTTCTTAGTTGAATGAAAGAGATGGACATTTTCTTTAAAAAAATTCGAACAGCGTGATAGATTTTCCTTATTTTTTTCGAACGGTTTAGGATATCAATGCCCTACCCCGCATTTAGTTGTTATAACGATCACTAGATATTTGAAATGTTTAACAAAATCAATTTCTACACATTTATATTTGACATTAGGGTGCGTATAATAATGCTACAGCATCATGTACAAATAAAGTGTACACCCCGGGCCACAATTTTACAATTCATGCTTACTGACAAAAGATAATGAAAATACTCATTCAACAAAAATAGAGGATGATCAGAAAATTTTTACCAAGGGCGTTTGTTTACTTTTGAGCCGCTAGAACATATCCAGAACTACGAGTTTGTGCTCTGTTCGAATATAAGCTTAGAAATTGTGTCTCACTTGTTGTTCGAGAGTAGTAAAATAATCTTTGAAAAGTCCAAAAAATTAGTTTGGACGGAAAATTTTCCCACACTTTCTTGGCTTTTCACTATTCCGATTCAAAACTAAAATTTGGGATCTTTATCTATATCTCAACTTGTAGATCAGAAGCTACTGCACAAAATACTCAATTTGAAAAATCAACAACCGTTTTACGTTGAAAGAAACTCTTCAAAAAAAAAAGCTGCTTGTAGCTTCACTTGAGTAAAAGCTACAGCTTAATTCAATACTACATTGTGTAAAGAAGTCTCCACTTTACAAGACGAGCGACTTCGACAATTTTCATCTGTTGGCTCATCAATAGACAAAAAATTTCCAAGTCTGTATTCGAAAAGAGCACAAACTCATAGCTCTTGATATTTTCTAGCAGATCAAAAGTGAATAAATATCTTGTGTAAAAAGTTTCCGATCATCCGTTACAATATAACGTCTGTTTCTTTGTTTTATTTTTCTTAACATTATCTCTATAAATGTAAGTCAATATTTATCATCATTCAATCAATATGCTTATCTATTTTCCTCTCCTGTTAATACAATTAAGCATTTTCGATTGTTTTTACATAATGTAAAAATTTTAAGAAAATTCGGTTCGTTTATTCAAACATAAATTTTTGTAGAACTTCTATTAATTCATAACTTAAAAACATCCAGTATATTTTCCTTCATACAATTCAACAAAATAGCTTCACCGAACAATGAAAATGAAAACTTAAGTTATTATTTATCTCGAACAACAGTGATGACCAATTTTCCCATTGTTAAATTATCTTCCATATATTTATGAGCTTCAGCAATATTTTCCATTGGCCACGCTTTATCAGTAATAGCTGTAAGTTTACCATCAAGAAAACCATTGATTGCTTCATCTTGAAAATGCTTAACTAAATTTGTTTTATAATCAATTGGTCGTGCTCTTAAAACAGTACCCGAAAGTGTACTACGTTTTCTTATCAATGTGCTCAATGATAATTTATCCGCTTCAGGTCCACTTTGACAGCTGTAAACAATCCAACGAGAATCAATACCAAGAACTTCTTGATTAGCTTCAACATAATCTTTTCCAACGCTGTCATAAATTATATCAAACCCTAAGAACAAAATAAAAATGAAAATGATCATTTCTATTCAATTTCAAAATACAATCAAACCATCTCTATTAAGTCCTCGAGTGTATTCTTGTAATGTTTTTACCCTACATATTTTAAATAATAAAATTAAAGAAAGAAAAAAAAAAGTATGATCAATTACCAAGGTCCATGTTTATAATTAATTATTTTATCAGCACCAATTCTTTTACAATAAGCTATTTTTTCATTAGTACCAACTGTTGTTGCTACTTTTGCACCAAAAAATTTTGCTAATTGAATAGCTGCTGTACCAACTCCACTAAAATATGATTAAAATATTATTTTATATATAACTGAATATATTTACCTTGCACCAGCATGTATAAGTACCATATCGCCTTTTTTTATATTACCAATCAATTTTAAACCTTGAAATGCAGTCAAAAATGTTTCTGGAATACCTACAAAAATATCTTGTTCCTATTAAAACAAACAATTTTAAACAATTAACCTGCAGCATCAACCATTGAAATTCCTTCGGGAATCTTCATAACACAGCCCATATGTGCTGCAACATATTCAGCATAACCTCCACCAGCTACTAATACCATTACCTGACAAAAACAAATGATCATATTAAATAAAATATCATCTATCAATTCATACTTTATCACCATCATTCCATTTTTCTTTTGCTTCATTACCAACACGAACGATTTCTCCTGATGCTTCTAATCCAATAATATCCGTAACACCTGGTGGTGGTGGATAGAGACCTTTACGTTGCAAGGTATCAGCTCGATTTACACCAAATGCATGTACTTTTACTAGAACTTCATCATCCTAAATGAGATTCTTCCTTGTATGAAATCAACTAACAATAATATATTATATACTTTTATTTCAGGTACATTCGTTTCACCAATATACAAATTGTCTAATAATTAAAGATCACTAATGAAGTTAAATTAAATAAATATGATTCGATTCCTACCACAATCACCAAAATCTTTCAACAAAACCGCTCGCATTTTTTCTGGAATCGACATTTCTTTTTTCTTATCTACAAAACAAAAAACACAGAAGTCTTAAAAAAAATTTTGATTTCAAGGACACTGTTTATATTGTTTGATAGGAAACAATACAAGATAACAGAACAAACAAACACACACACACACAGGGTCTACACATATGGATGAAGACGTTCTCTAGAAGTAACAAGCACATATAACGATGATATTCCTAAACCATAAAGACTGCCTCGAAAAGCGCCTTTCCAACCAGCTGTTGATCGATAAAGAAGACCAGTAAGACCACCACTAGCAACTGTATTTAATTCATCATCGATACCACGTGCCCAACTAATACCAGTACCAATTAAACTGTAGATTAATGCTAAATAAAGCAAATAGATTAAAAAAAATTCATAAAATATTAACTTAAAATATCCTACCAATAGAGCCCATTGCAGAAGCAGTGGTAGCACCTTGACGACCAACATAATTAATAATTCTACAAAAAATTTACATTCATCTAACAATAGTTCTTTTGTTTTGATCAAACTTACGATGAAGTTCGTACAGATCCAGTTAAATCTCGAGTTTCACGTAAACCACGATATAATCCTGATGCACTACCAATTAAACTTCCTATAAGAAATTCATTATTATATCTTATTTATTTATTCATTTATTTTACGAACCAGCAATAACAGAGCCACCAATTGTAAAAAACATTAATTCAAGTCTACCACGTTTTTCTTTTTGTCCTTCAGGCAAAATAAATTGAGATTCACCCTACACAAATAAAAATAATCTTTTCATAATAATTATTAATTATAAATATCAAATATTCATACGGGATTTAATAATTTTGGATCAAAATTTAAATAAGGTGATAAAGAATTTGTACCAGGCGTTGAATGAACTAATTAAATAAATCATATTTACTAAACATCTATTTATTTCTAAATATCAATACATAGTAAATTTCTATACATTATTATCCAATGAATGATACAAGCTAAAGAATACTCTTGCAAGAGTCCTGATTACATGTCTATGATGTATAGATGAAATTGATTTTTACATATTCAATTAAAGGGATACAACTCGTAGTCTAGCACAGAGATATACACCGCCTGCACGATTACAACTTGATCGTGTTAGCAATTATACTTTCTTGAAGTTGAAACCGAACAATCCAAGTTAATATTAATCTCATATAGGACTGGCGGCACTTTATTTTTATTTTAGTTTGGAAAATCTGAAGAGCATAGTAAAGTAAAGCGAATAAACATACTTAATATTGATTTTAAATATTGTAATTAACTTTACTTTTTTGGGCAAAGTTCTTATACTTAATTTAATTTTTCAAAGCAAAATCAAGATATAGTGTGAGCCAGAGACGTGGATCGCCTGGTGGTGATAGCTGTCTCGCTCGCGCGGTGTTTCACATCTCCAGTCTGGCGTTGAGTTAGGTCAGAAAATTCATCTTAATATAAATATGAAATATATATCTTTGGGTTTGCAAGGATGTGTATGTAGACGAAGATAAGAGCCATACCTACATCAATACCTTCGCTTAAATCCTTATATCAATTTTATCCTTATCTTTCATTTATATAATTGTAAGCTTGCTGGCGTTTTATTTTAAATATCTTTTAGAAGTTAAAGAGAAATTAAAACAACATCTACCTTATAGCATCAATCACAATGCTAATATTCAAGTTACTCATAAAAAGACGATTTTCTACGTTTATTTCTTGTCAGACTGTTTTCCATGTAATTTTTCTCATAATCATTTCATTTGAATTTCCTGGAAATATAACGTTTATCATACTTACCTGGAACATTATTAGCTGGTTCATGTAAATTATAATTTCCAAATAAACTAAATCCACGTTTATTTGAATCTTGCGTATTATTAAAATCCATTATTCTGAAAGAAGGAGAAAAAAAGAAAACAAAATTTATAAGTAAATTTTTTTTTTTGTTCTACATAGAATATTAAGGCACATATATGATTCACTTTGTTTTTAAACAAATTATTTAAAATTCTAGAAACGAATAAACTATATAATAATACAACTTAAAAAAAAAACAAAAAGAAAAGCAAATTTTTCTGAGATATTGGCTAGCATTGTTTCTAGCACCTTAATACATAATAAGAATTAAGTATCAGATGAAAATAGAAATATATATATATGTATATATCACACACAAATAAACAGAGATTTTTTTTTTTTTTTAATAAAAAGAAAAAACAAATGCTTGTGCTAATTGCTGAATTCAGGATTTTCGCCTGTATATTCATTTTCAAGACGATATTGTAATGTACTAAATGATGGTCGATTTTCAGGTTGAGCATGCCAACATTCACGCATAATTGTATAAAGTGATAAAGGACAATTTGGTGGTTGTGGTAAACGATAACCTTGATCGACTTGTCGTAATACTTCAGCATTAGTCATACCAGGATATGGTGTACGACCAAATGTTATTAATTCTGTTAATAAAATACCATAAGACCAAACCTAACGTATGAAATGAAGAAAATATTAAAACCAAATGTAAAATAGAAAATTTTTTTTTTTAAATATTTACATCACTTTTAATTGTAAATCGATTATAAAGTGCAGCTTCAGGTGCAGTCCATTTAATGGGAAATTTTGTACCTTCTTTTGCTTCATACATACCTCCAGCATATTCCTAGAAATATTTTATGAAATAAATATTTACTTGGAATATATAAAATTAGTTCAAAAAGAAAAATATACATAACCTTTAATCAATTACTTATATTTAAGGATGCAACGTTCTCACCTGTCTTATACACTGGTCTACGTCGAAATTCTCATTCGAGAAATTGAAATAAAATTTGAAATCACTTTAGTTTTATCATATGTTCATCGTCATTCTATACATGCATAATCTAGTCTGATGATAATTATCAGACGAGTAAAAGAACATAACTTCGTTCGAATAAAATAATGTGCACAGAAGAAAAAAAATCGATAAAGCAATTGAATTTTTCGTTATGGAAATAATTCAATAGATTAGATCAAATTTTGATGTTAGAAGACAATTTTAAGCAGCATAAATCAAATAATAAATATGATTATTTTTCAAGCATTTAGTACTAACGAGAGAACATTTCCACGTGTCAAATCCGTTGAAATATATTTAATTTTTACAGATTTTTTTTTGTTTTGTTGCAGAACATTGTAATCATTTTCAGAGTTACTTGAAAAATTAACTTAAAATTTGTACAGAGAAAAGTCTCAATGAGACTAATTTATTCTAAAGATTTCAAATTTCTTCATTGCTTGAATCCCAAAACATAAAAATTACATGCTAAATTATAAATCGAAATTTTCAAGTGACTTTGACGAAGACTACGACGTTATGCAAAAACAAAATGTCGTAAAAATTAAATATCTTAGCAGAAATAATCTACGGGCATGAATTTCTTTCGAAATTCATTAAAATCTATAGGATGTACATTGTATCGAATTGAAAGCGAATTCACATGTGGGATTGTTCCCTCGTAAGTCGAATGACGATCGAAGAAGTCAATTATTCATTGACATTAAATATTTACCTTAATCTCATCCTAACAAAGCAAAAATAAATCTTAGATATTCGACATATACTTAGAGGGAGATGGATTCAATTTTTCTTCTTACTCTATAGAATAGAAGAATTCTTTTGTTATATACAAACCTTAATTATTCTTGCTAAACCAAAATCAGCTATTTTCACAGTATTATTTTCACCAACAAGAACATTTCGAGCAGCAAGATCTAAAATGAAATTTCTTTTCAAAAATTAACAAAATTGAAATAATTTAAATATTTTATTTACCTCGATGAATATAATTTTGTTGTTCTAAATAAGCCATTCCACGAGCAATTTGTGTTGCCATATAAATTAATGCTGACATTTTAAGTTGTCGACCACGTGAACCTAAATAATCAAAAATTAAGAACTGTAAAACGAACAAAAAAAAATAAAAAAATAAAAAGATTTTATTTACTTTGTAAATAATCTAAAAGACTTCCATTTTTCATTAATTCTGTAACAATATAAATTGGTTCTTCAATTGTACAAACAGCATATAATTGAATAAGATTTGCATGTCGTAATTTTTTCATTATAGATGCTTCTGTTAAAAAATCAGTTGGATTCATTGAACCTAGAAAAACAAAGCAAAATAATTTCTCTATCAGAGAAAAAAAAACCAAATTATTCTAACCTGGTTTAAGTGTTTTAACTGCAACAGATACATTATCACTCCATACACCTTCCCAAACATCACCAAATTGTCCATGACCAAGACGTCGAATTAATTTTATATCACGTCGAGATATTTCCCATTTATCAACAAGATTATGTGATAAACCATCTGGTTCAGGTTTAACAATCTATTATTTATTAATTAATAGAAAAAAAAAGCTATTAGCACAATTCCTATGAGATAAAAATGTGAAACATGGTGTAACTGCTGTTACTATTCACAGGAATTCACTATCCTTTTATTTGATTCGCCAGAAAAAAAATCCTAGTTATTAACATCTCTGTGCTGTGATGAGTCTCTTCATAGCGTCTGTGGGATCTAAATTTTCTATCCGTATACTTCAATACTTCTTTTACAAAACGTAGATCAAAGAATGTATTCTTACATGTACACAGGGGCGTCGTAAATTTACACACAAACCATCTGACGTTTTGGAATAATGAGTAACAAGTTCAGGTAATGTAATGAATGTTGTTCGGCGTGCTATATAAAATCGACCATCTTCGTTTTGACGTATTCGATAATGTTTTACTGAATCATTATCTCGAACTGTTAACGAGAAAAACAATTTTTATTGTTATAAAACAAAAAGAAGTTTTTTTTTATTATTATTAAAAAACTTACTTGATAATGAAAAATCCATTTTTTTTGTTTCACTATCTCGAATCTAAATAAAAGGATATATTAGAAATTTTAATAGAATAATCTACAATCTTTTCATAAAAATTTTCTATCAAAATAACAAACTCATCAAATATAATCAATAAAATAAAATACAAGTGTTGATATTTCTAATCAGCAAATCATCAGAGATATATTACAAAACATTTCTTTTCTACACAATAGAAATTTATGATATCAATCGCACTAATGATATTAGATTTCTTAAGAAAACCAAAATTAATCTCAATAGATATACCTAAATCCTTTTAGGATTTCTATTATAAGACAAATTGGAATTGTACAATGTCTTTCGAACCACGGATAGTATTTAAATTTTTGTGAATAGAATAGAAAATCACCTATTTAAAACTTAGACTATTCTTGTATACTGCCGATGTCATCACAATTAATATAAAGGTTTCTGGATTTTTCCAAAAAACAAAACTCTTGACTTTTTCTTTTATGGTAAAATCGAATTTTCTCTATGTTGAAAAAGATTCATTATTTTTATGTTTTATTAATCATTCATTCTGAATGTGTAAATTTTATTTTAAAAAAGAAACTATTTCAATCAGTAGAATATTTACATCTATTCAATTCGATAACTATTCATATGATTATATATAACTTAAAATAAATACATTCGATAACGAATATTTTACATACAAGAAAACTTCCATGTTCATTAACATCTGACATAAGTTGTTTTTCAGCATCAATTCGACGTATGGATTTAAAATACCATCTAATAATAGAGAAATAACTTTGTAAAAAAGAAAAAAAAATTTTTTTTTTCAATATTTACGGTTCTGATTCTAAACTATCTCGTTTTGCAACATAATTCGAAGGTATCCAACCTTCTTGTCCATTTTCATTTTTAGCTTTCCACCATGCGGTATTTTTTCGATAAGTTATTTCTAATAAATCACTTTTTCTTATTGTTAAATCATCATTTGTTCTTGCATCATAATCAAATAATGCTACATATTGAAAACGATTATTATTATTATTATTATTATCAGTAATTGGTTTTAAAACAGTTGCTGAAGTTGTTGATGATGATGCACTTGAAACACCTGATGATGATGGTGTTCCGATAGTTGTATTATTTTGATTATTTATTGTACATTGTATTGATGATGGTGAAACAATTGATTGTTGTCGTGGAATGAGATTCAATGCTAAATCAGGCACTTGGTTTTGCTGCATTTTGGACGAATTTGAACGACCAAAATTTATGCAGTTTCCCATACCTCGCTAAATTACATATAAATTAAATATTTAGTTTTTTTTTAAACAAAAAAAGTAAAGAACATTGTGTTTTTTGGAAGAAAACAAAAAAAGTATAATTCATTGATCTTACATTCTGTTGTTCAATTTTATAACGTACATTTCGCTGTGCTTGTTCAACTAATAATTGTGTATTAATAAATTGAAAAAAATCATTCCTTCTTGATTTTAATCCATTTTGCAGCCATTGCTGCACATATGGTTTATAAGGTTCAGCCATTTGATTTTTTTTATATTTATTCAATTCTCATTTTTCTTTGTCACAATGCAAACAAACATACAATGTGTATTCTTCAAGTGTACATGCAAATCAAATTTCTACGTGTTCAGTTTATAACCTCACACAGATCGAAAAGTCAAAAAGAGAAAAAAAAGAAGGAATGATTTTTCTTTTCTTTTTTTCATTTCTTTTATTTTTGTGTGTGTGTGTGTGTGTATAGATCATGTAGTTTTTTTGATTCATTAAGTACTTATCAGTGTAAAAAGAAATTTATTTACCTGTTTATTTTCTTTTTCGAAGCATGAAATGATCTAAAAATAATTAATGAATATCTTTCATCAATTTGAGAATATTTTCAGATTTTGATGAAAGATCTTCTTCATTATTGAAGATCTAAAACAATATATTTTTCTTTCATTTAGTTCATATATTTATTTATATGAAAATTTTATGTTCTATAGAACT